GTCGTGGTTGAGGTCCGGCAGGGAACACTGGGCGTGAATTGGTCGTGGTTGAGGTCCGGCGGAGGACGAGGAGGAGAAGGAGGAGGAGGAGATAGGGCTGACATAAAATCTAACAACCCTCACCTGACAGGTGGGGAAAAAAGTTCCCCTTGAAAGTCCAAAGACTATTTTCGGCACCAACCAAGTAAAGGAAGTTCCTTTTCGGATCACCTTAAAGACCGTTTACAAAAATGCTCTTGGACTCCCAGGGGTTGTTACAACACGACGCTCCTCAGGTCCGTCCTCTCCACCGGTCTGGTCCGGAAGACGCCTAGGCGGCCTTCGCCGCGGCGGGGCCGGTGTGGAGGGCACGTCGGCCCCAGAAGTCCTTCTTCCAGTCCTGGGAGGGTCTCAGGACTGAGTCGAGTCGTCCAAGTTACATGGTCCAACAACTGGTACCGAAGGGTACCAGGAAATTGATAACAGTACTGGGCCCTGTTTTTTGTTCGGGTCACGACGTGCAATTTTCTAGGGTTCCGAACTGGAGGGTCCATATTTTTGGAGCGATGGTTGGAGGATTTAGTTGGACAAATCGACGATATCACCTCGTGAATCACACACCTATAATGACTAATGGTGGAGGAGGTTCAATCAAGCCTAATATTGAGCAAAGGCCGCCTATACATGTAGGTCTTACTCACAAGTCATGTCTATATATAGTTCACATGGATCTCTTCGAACTTATAAGGTTATGGAACCATACTACAAGTAAGGTTATGATTGCGTGCTCTTTTGTTTGCTTGGATCTCTTGTGGACTCTTCCAAGGTTCGTTTGAACGGAATGGAGGACGATCCAATCGGGTGCCCAGCAGCTCGGGGTTTCACCCACGCGACGATCCAGTCGAGGGCCAGCCTTCTCGAAGCTTGAGCTGCAGAGACTTTGTGACTTTAAACTTTACCCAGCAAGTTCAAAGGACATGCCAGGTTTAACGAGCACAGTAAACCCAAAGACCCGCTGGGTTATCATATGAAAAATCGTACAAACATATCTGGTCGATCCCGAGGTGCGATTGGTCGTTGTTTCGCATGCAAGCTAGCATGCAACGCACGTCAACGATAGGCCGCTACCAAGGCCCACGTAAACGGGGGTGTCTCATAGCCCCGTTCAGGAGATTTAAGGGATGTCCACTTATCAGCACCCATCACCCCAGCACCCCTCAGTACCCCGTTATGATCCCGACCTTCCGCGACCCGAGCGACCCAAGAGGTGCCGTGCAAGTCGTCCAGCCACCCCATGGCACCATAGTTGACGTTGAACTTCTCCTGCGGAAAGCGTTGAACTGCGGTCCCACACGACACTGCCAGACGGACCTCAAGGGCGGGGGAAGCGGGGCGTTGTGTGCGGAAAACCGGCGATGGTGAAGGGTGGTATACGATAGGTTGAAAGGAGTGTCAAAGACCGTCCAAGAGCTACACCTTTCATCATATGGCTCAAGAGCGAACCTTTAATAGACTTCAAGGGACCCTGGTGGTTGACCCTGTTGGTGTTACTTTGATGTGACTTTGCTGCAAGTGATCTAAACAAACATGTGCTTCTGAAGGTAAGGTCCTGACGAACCCTCTTTTTGTTCTCTGGTTCTATATCTGGCGCCTCTTCGCTTACGATACTCTTGAATTAATCATGATAATAGGAATCATATCCATGCAATAGCACAAAACAATGGACCTCCCGTACATGAGTTTGCCGCAAGCTGATGAGACCAGCCTCCCTTTGCCAACCGGGGCAACGAACCAAGATTGTTAAAGACTTCACGCGCCCTTGGCCCAAGAATTCCAGGACCGTGCACTGATTCAGAGGGAGAAAACATGAGAAAACACGTGGCTGGGCACCGTGGGAATGGTTTCGCACCGCCGCTTCGGACGCGCGATGGGCACATGATGAAAGTCATGGAAGTTGGGCTGCGCCTCGGCCTGCGGGTGCTGCGTGCGCAGCTTGCGGGCTGCTTTCGTGCCGGTGGCTTGGGGCGACGTCAAAGAGAGAAGCTGCAGGGAGGGTTTGTGGCGCCAGGTCCCTCTGGTTCCCAGGGAGCGCTGGTAAACCAAGGCTGGAGAGCTACACCAGAGGTAGCAAAGATCGCCAGATCGAAACGCTTTTGGGGGATGTCTGACCATACCTACATCTCCCCTTGGGGTGAAGAAGACTCATAGCCATCCATAGGGGACTGCGGGGACATAACAAGTGAGTCTTCAGATGTACAGTATTCAGTATTGTTCTCAAGGAGGCCCCCCCAGCAGGCCGCAAATACCTCTGTTTAACAGCATGTACGAGTGGAGGAGCCATGAAACGCCCGATGTGCGCCCGACCAGGAGAACGAACGACCAGCAAAACCCCCCAAAAGGGCGTTAGTTTGAGCCCGAGATGGGCCCGATGTGGGGTGGTGAAAGAGACGCCCTTTGAAAGGTCTCCGGGTCGGTGCGACCGTGCGACCGGTCTCCGCCGTCTGACCGGAGCCTTGTGCGACCGAAACGGCCGTGATGAACATGACTTGGAGGGGGACAAAGACACCACAGGGTGCCACATTGACGACCACAAACACTTATCAGCTGAAAAGAAAAAAGCAGTCCAAATTGTTCAATTATCAGAAAGAAACACAAAAGCAGTACAGTGACAGTACAGTACAGTGACAGTACGGTCCATGCAGCATGCACAAAACAACACGCCGCCTGGAAGGAAAAGAAATCGATCCATGGCCAGCGAATGCCACCTGTGATCGAAGATGGATGTCAGGAACACCTGTGTTCTGTTGACTTTGCCGGAGATGAAGTTGTGAAAGGTGGTCATCTTGGTGTTCAGCTCTTGGTGAGAGGGGTCTGAAAAATGTGAGAGGGGTCTCCATCATTCATGTAACAGTCGATACTATAGTGGACATGGCTCCTTCCGTCGGCTGACCAGCGAAACAGGACACCTGCCGCATGGACTGCCCACAGCCGACGTGAACCACGTCCTTCCGTCGTTTGGGACGTCGACCGTTCGACGTCTGGGGCAAACATGACTCCTCTGCGACACGTCTCGGTGCGGTGCAAACCTCTCGGGGAAAAACGAAGTGGTTACGATTGGGCAACGCAACCCTGACCGCAACCAGGATTGGGCATGTCCCATAAGCAATCCATAAGCTGCAATCCATAAGCAACCAAATGTATATCAGCATGGTCACATAAGCTGCAACCAAGGTCACAGTGATGTGTCTGCGTCGCCATGACAGCGAAGGCCATCCAGATCACCTTGGCTCAACGTGGCCAGCAACAAAAAATGGGAAAACGAATGTACTAAGGAGAGAAAGGACCAATCTGTTGTTGCCTTACAATTAGAGGTCTATTGAATAGATTTATTTTTCAAGTTTGAGTACACGGTTGAAGAAGGTCTATTATTCAGATCTATCTTTCTTGGGGATCACTTAAACAGTTTTGGGGAGCATCCAGAAATCATAAAATGTATTCCATGCATGGAATGCTGGACAACCCGTCGAAGTTGGCATTCCCATGCCTTTTTTTTTCTATGTCCGCTTGTGCCCATCTTCCACCCGAACAAACCTGTGGAGTGCTTGTGAAAGAACCTATGAGTCCTGCGATGAGTCCGACTGCTTTGGTACAAGGACTCCGGAAATCCGAGCAGGCGGAAGTGCCGCCAGTGGAGATCCCAGTCCTTGCAGTCACCACTAATTCGGTCACGAGCTCGGACTCCCCAAAAAAAAGAAAGAAGCAGGTGCAGGGGACGGTCACTCTGTGGGGATTGTTGGACCGCTGTGTGGGGGATATGGTGGCAGAAGAAGAAGAAGAAGAAGACACAAACGAACAGCAACAGCAGCAACAGAAGAAGAAGAAGAAGAAGAAGAAGACACAAACGAACAGCAACAGCAGCAACAACAACAATTATTCTCCATTATTCTCCTATGTTCACCTTGTGTTGATCTGGATAAAACCACTCACAAAGACTGGTGATACTTTGCCGGGTGCTCAGTGTTTTTCGTGGCCAAGCGATGGTAGGACCCAGCAGCCCTCTGTGAAGGGACGGATCTAAGTCCTGATGGGTCACTAGAATCTTCACAACAATAACAACAGCTGCACCAATAGCTAGCGGTCATAACAACAACATCATCAACAACAACATCAACAAATTCTCAACAACTTCTCAACATGTCAAAAAAACTTCACTGGCTTTCACACTGTTTCGCTGGTGGGTCGAGTCAGGGAGAACGGATGATGTGCTCGGCGCTCAGAACGGCCCATGTTCCGGCTGCGTCCGGGTGGCCCCGGTGAAGCCGTTCGTCCGCACGGCCACCAAACCAGCACCCAGAGGCCTAAGCCGACGACGGCGACGCGGCGCGAGCCAGCCGTTCCGGTGAAGCCGTTCCGGAGCGGACCGTTCCTGAGGGGGGGAAAAGAGATGGAACGTCCTTATGGTTTCTTCCGGTGTTTCCTCAAATTCTGCATGAGTTTGTAATATCCTTCGTGGGACATTCAAAAAAGGAAACTTGATGAGTGAGCTGAGGAGAAACCGTGGAAGACATCAGGATGTTTCAACTGCGTTTTGCCCAACTCTTCCTTGTGTGGCTATTCCCAGTGCCAATGCCATGTCATCATGGAATTCTCCCTCCCCCATGGGGAGAAGTGGGGGGTTGTTAAATCTTCCAGCCCCGATTCTTTGGGGACCTCTCATCCCCCCGTCCCGGCCGCATCCGCATCTGGGCTCCCGGACATCAAATCCGCCACGAGGAACTCGATGGGATGGCAGTAGATGGCTGCCAAGCCCATCGGCGCCTACGCAGGTTTTTCAACAGGTCATGAAAATGAACAAAAAACAAAAGGCCACCAGTAGAACTTCCTTTGGTGCTTTAAGGTTTTAAGTATACTTATATAGATGGGTACTTGAGTGAGTGCATTTGGTCCAACAGTAGAATGGCCAAGCACTGCCAAGCACCTTGAACAGCTAGAAACAAACGCTGGATGTTCCTCAGAAAGGAGTGGCAAGCATGATCGTGTCTTTGATTCTGATGTTCAAGGAACATCCAGCTGATTTCAGTGCCACCCCGTGGCTGCCCAACTGATGCTTTCTCCTTCCGACCATGGGTCTTGCGGCTTGCTTAACAAGGCAAACCAGGGGAGTTGTTGCAGACTTCAGGAGTCAAAAACCAGCAGGCTCCCAGATTGATGTCACGAGTAATTAAGCCGAACACTTCAACAACTGGAGGGTACAGTGTGTCATAACAGTGCAGTGTGTCTCAAAAGTCTTGGGGCAAGTTGGTCCAGTACGCCGCAGTCTTGAAGTTGGTCCACGAGGGACAAGAGAGATGGAATAAGAGAGCCCCAATCTGCTGGCCAATCAGCCTGTAGCTTGGGATGGTGGACGACATCACCAAGTTGGACTCAGACTCAATGAAGCTACTAGGAACAAGAAGCTACAAACGGAAAAGGCGGAGCAAAGGACGCTACTGACTAATAGCTCCTGGCCTTACTACTAGGAACAAGAAGCTACATACAGTATACAGAAAGTTACTCTCCATGTTAGTTCCAGGGAGAGTAAATGGTAGAGGAAAGTCATCGTTCCACCCATCAGTTGTGGCCATCCAGCCATAGTTCATCCCCAGACCAACGGCTGCCTTGAACTCGTGGTGGATTTTGTGGATATGCCTGACTCGGTCGATTGGAGGCCTGGGCCCTGGGCCCTGGGTATCTTGGTATATCACATTTGACTGACCCCCTATGAAACATACACCTCAGGAAAACACTGACCTGCTGCTCAGGAATGTCTGGGTCAGCAGTTGGAGCAGTTGGATGAAAACACGACGCAAAGTCTCCGATGGATGAAATCCGGGACGAACCATTGGCATCGATCAGGTCTTATGTTTCATATGCACGGCACACGCAATTGATCCCGAGTGTCCTTTGGCAGTACGGACTCAGATCAGCATCAAAGTCAAAGACACAAATGTCCCCACTGATTTGAAGGATTCCCAAGTGGGGATTTATATTTGTAGGACATGAGATATTATAAGTTAGGACACTGTAGATTATAAGTTGGGCCATCATAGGTTGTAAGTTAGGACATTATAGGTCAAATTAAAAGTATATAAAACATATCTGAGTTATGAACACCGGCCCAGCAAGAACACCTCAGCGGCTGGTCGTCACAAAAGACAGGAACAAACAGATCCAACAACAAAGCATGGAACAGCACAGTAGTGATATATGTGTTTCATGATGTTTCATGGTTCTTTCCAGGAACCAACAAAAACACTGCATCACCGGCTGCGTCGCCGACGAGCCTCTGCAGACGTGTCCCTCCTTCGAGCGAACGGCTCACGTGCCTGTACAAGAACTTGTTGGCATGAAAGAGCCAGTGCCCATAGAAGAAGAGCACCTGTGGCACCAGCGGGTCATGTTCGGAATTGAATCTTCAGGGCACCTGCTGAAGCAAGTATCAAATGAGATGGAATACAATAGTTTGTTAAAAAACAACTATATATAGAGACATAGACATGTTTAGTTCCGTCCTACTACAACTTTATAGTGTGATGATCATGAATTGTCTCATCCCAACATTGCTCGGATGGGCCCTTCATCCACCAGCCCTTCATCCACCCTTCGGCCCTATGCGGCCCTGCGCCGCACCAGGAACTAGCAGTAAGTTCAATACAACACAGAAGGATTCAAACAAAAAAGAACAACAAGGACTACCCCTCCCTGGAATGATCTTTGGACACACCCTGGTTTCCAGAGAAGAAACACGTCGTCCTGACAGGGCCATGCCATCCGTCAAAAGGTGCGTTTCTTCCAGCGAGTGTAATGCTCTCAATTCACTAGGTTGACCCTTCCACAAACGGCACAGCAACATGGTCTACTTGGCCAGCCTTGGAGCCGGACCAACAAACACCACTGTCTTCTTCATGCCGAGGTCGCGGAACTGGATAGACATGGATATATATCTATATATATAGCCCCAAATAGATGGAAAAGTAGATCCCCACTCAAATGGATTTGAAAGGTGCCACTATCTATTTAAGGGGACCACGAAAAACACTGATTTGGGGTTTCCGAATCATGACCACGGGAAGTTAGGTGGCCCAACTCGGCTTGAACCTTTGACTCTCTCGCTGAAATCACTCAAGGTGCCGTGCTACGACTCTGCACTGACCGCATGTGGTCCTCTGAAGCCCTTCACCAAGTGGTCAGTGCAGGTCGGATCCCATCCCTTCAGCAAAGGCGTCTGTTCGGACCCCGAGGTGACATGAAGACGGCGCGAAAGGAAGCACTGTCGTCCACGAATGGTGTGGCGAAAAGCATCCTCCCTGTCAAGTGCTCCCACCACCATGCTCCCAACTCACCTCATTGCAAAGGATACCAAAACCTGGCCGCAGTGGGATGAATTCACAAACTCGAAGGATTACTGACCTCGACCCTGTCATTCTATTCTGACATGAGGACACCAATGTCTAAACACTAGACCTGATGAAAGACGTACATTGTTGAAGAACCAGGATGACTACTCTTGGCCACAACTGTTAAAAGATGCAGTGGATTCGATCGTTGGCACTGGTGGAGATTGCTCCAACTCCTCAGGAATCAATGCTCCAATTGAAAAACACATACTGCACAAGCTTGGTTTAAAAGGCAATCAGGGACACACAAAAAAGGTCCCTGTTATATACCTCTATCTCCCTAGCTTCCATATCTTGGCAATTCTTGGCATATCTTGCTACATGCAGTAATTAGGCCGTCCACAACTTGTTCAAACCCCAATATCTAGAGACCCCGTATACAATCAAACACTCCCAGTTGAGAAGAATAGTGCACTCAGGATGAGCAGTCAACTTTTGATTTGTA